CTGAAGTTTGCTTCCAGGCATGAAACCGTTTGTCGCCGCTCAGTGTTGGCCTCAATGTCCATTTTTATATTTACATACGCACTGTCTCTTTTGCTCATAACCATAAGATACTTTAAAATATATTTTTATCATATGGCTGATGCTGACCTCCAGGATAAGTGACTCATTGCACCTTCTCGGGCTAATGTTTTACCGTGGTCATGAAGCGGAAAGTGTATATTGAATCAATTGCTAAGTCTGCAGCGAAGAAAACTGGTTCACTGTGTCATACTTGTAAGCGTTCTGGGATTGCAAAGGAAATATTTGTCGCAGATTACTTCCACAACTCAGAGAATAAATAAGTCCACACTCGACTATCGGGGGCAGAAAGCAATGCCGAAATCACGATTCGCAGGCGCACTATCTCACAAATCCCAATGCACGTAAGCAGTCAGAAAAATAACTCACTCTCCGACGAACGCGGTAGCCAAAATAAACGAATTTTATCTTCTGCCCACGACTCGAGAACACCAACTGCTTTTATCTGCCGAGCATTTTTTCCATTAGTCGACAACTGGGAGAGGACGCCCAATTTTTGCATATCAAAATAATTTTACAGCGACTCCTGCTACTGACTTGTTTTTTTAATTTAAATATTCCGTCTTCAGCATGTGATGCGGAATACGTACCCCTTTTTTTTTTCTTCTTTTTTTTTTTTTTTTGGTAAGTAATTTTCTTTTTCGCCACATTTTCCGTCGTAGGATACACGCGACACGCTGTCGCTTGGTTTGACCAGGTAAGTCGCCGTTTTCTTCGCTATTTTACTCTCCATAATCTATCTTACATATTTATAAGTCTACCATTCGTCCTTGCTTTGAATATTGTTGCCACATCTCGTCTGACGCTCCTGCTATATATACTAGAGATTCTTAATAAAATACACAAAAGAATCTGCAATGTTGTTAGTCCTGACCCTGCACCTCGGCTTCAGTCACTTTCGCATCGTCGTAACGTAATTTCCCTGTGCCTTTTCTATGAACATTTTTATGGTAATTGTTCTGATAAAATTTCCTATATGGCACCGAAATTTTTTAATTTAAGCGCAGTATTTGATTGGCGGCAAGGTCTCATTTTACAGTTGAAATGATTCGATGTAAGTTCTATGTTAACAGGTTCTTCTCTCGGGCTTCTTGTGAAATTCTCTTCCGGCTCCCCAGTCACATTTGATTTTTCTAAAATTTAAATACAATGTCAATCGTTTTGTTTCTTAATTTTTGTTCTTTTATTGTCCTCTCTCCTTAATAGTAGTTTTTCTCATATTCTCTAAGAGTCAGTAACCTCCTTGCGTCCTAGTGGCTTTATTGCCTTTGATTTTCAAAAATGTAAATGCAATGTCAATTGTTATTTTGTGATTTCTTAATCCCTGCTCTTTTATTGTCGTCTCCTTAACAGTCTCATTCTTGCTAATATTCTCTTTCAGTAAATTCGTGCGTCTTAATGGGTTTTTCATGAAACTATATATATATATATATATATATATATATATATATATATATATATATATATATAGGGTTCGATGAATAAATTGTTGTCTAAATGACGCAAAATTAAATAACACTGACATTACATTTTAACAAATATATTTACCAAAATTTACACGAAAATATCTTGAAATAATTAAGAGTAAATTGATTCAATAAAATCGCCATTGGCTTCAGCCATGGCCTCAAGACGACTTCGGAATCTCCTGCAACAATTCTGGATTATCTCCTGGTCTAAGTTGGGACATGCTGCTATAATCCTTGCCTTTAGTTCATCTTTGCTGTTACATGGATTTTTTTGGTCTCTCGCTCAAGTCCTACCCACGCATAATAATCAAAGGTGTTGCAATCTGAGGAGGTGTAAGGAGTGATGTGATCGAAGAAATTGTCTGACATCCATGAGTCGGTTCTCCTGCTTGTGTGGCATGGTGTAGAGTCATATTGCCAGACATAGGATCTTGACCTAGAGTAGCACTGCCTCCTCAAGGCACTTGATGTATGCCTCTGTGTTGAATCTGAGGCCATCACCCACAAATTCGGGAAGTTCTTTCCTTATGAAAACGATCAAAGTGAGTTTTCCGAACTGCCGTACTGTCATTAGACTCATCAAACTCTTTCCGGATCCACTGCACTATCCTCAGATTGTCACCAAAACAAATGTTGGTATTGGAGCTTCCGGCGGCGCAAATGCAAAGCAGTACAGCATACCGTTTCCAAAATTTGAGCGGTGTGAATAGCGTCATGGAGCTCTTTTTCTCACAGATGGTGCCCAACTGAGCCTACTATACTGTGTAGTGGACAAAATCAAAAACAGACAACGCGCATGCGCGAAATAAAAAAAATAAAATGGCGAGAATTTACCCAACGCACTCTGTATATAAAAAACAATCTTTTTTTATAGAAGTTTCATTAAAAACGACTACAATATATATATATATATATATATATATATATATATATATATATAGTTTAAGGTATATTATATCTATAGGTAAGAGTGATCAATATTCGGAATAGAACGTATAATTGAACAATGACGTCAACACCGAACGGCAACAGTCTGTCTCATGCTTGAACGCAATTTTTCCGCCTAATGATTGCTATTGCATGAAACTCAGGGAAGCAGATTCTGGTATTATCGAATTAATAATATTATTATATAACGCTATCATTAATTATATAATATTTAGAGCGTATAGACTTTGGCATGGAGGCCTCAATTTATTTTAAGCTTTTAGCTTATTTTAATCTTTGACTTTGGCTTTTATTCTTACTATTTCTCTCTCTCTCCACACACACACTAACATGTATATATATATATATATATATATATATATATATATATATATATATATATATATCGGCATCAGATTGAATATTCACAGATATGCATTTAATTTCATTTTAATTCGAACCGGTAATCTTCTTCATAAGTCAATAAACATTAATGTTTCTTAATTTTAAACATTAATCTTGTTTCAAGTCAATAAACACTGCATTTATTGTCATTTAATGAGGGATTACATTTTGTGCCGAGATCCTCTCTGTATATATATATAT